CATCTTCAACTACCTGCTCCTCTCCCCCCCCCCCCCACCCCACCGCCCCCACCCCCTCACCTCATTCTCACTGCCCCTGTGCTAACAGCAAGTGCGCAGAGCTGGAAGAGGAACTTAAAAATGTGACAAACAATCTCAAGTCACTGGAAGCCCAGGCTGAGAAGGTAGGGTTGCCACCCACACACCTCCCCTTCCCTGGCTTCCAATCCCTCCGACCTCCACCCCAACCTCTCAGTTTTCTCTTTCCTTTCCCCCAACCCTGTCTTTTTTTTTTTTTGTTTGCTGTTTTGTGTGTGTACACAGATGCACAGCCAGCAGCTATGAATGTATGTGTGTGGGAGAGGGTCACTGGTTGCAGTCACGCTCCAGCATTGTGGGAATGTGTGGTTAGAGGAGAGCGGTAGAAGTAGTTGGGGCAATGTCTGGTATGAGCGAAACCAATAAGGTCAGCTCCATTCCGGTCCATGCTCCCAGAACTGACTGACCCCGCTGAGCACTGGTACTGCTCGCCGCTGCCGACAGCATGGTAACAACCGGGCCCCATTGCCGCCAGAGCTCAGCACCTCCCTCGCCCTGTTCCTCAGACTGTCATAGATCGAGAGAGAAATCAACTGCCGTGACTGGTCAACAGTTTGCATCACAAGACCCCTCCCCCCTCTCTGAGCTGCATAGACCTTGCCCACAGTGTTGTTGGGCTCCTCTAGCACACCGGTAGTGTCCATACCTCTGGGCCAGAAAGCCCTAGGTCCAAGTCCCACTGTCTCCAAGTCAGGCCGGGTCTGAATGCATGTGATAAAAAATGTTAGTTTTTTTTTTAAAGAACTGGTCTGTCAGCTGTGATTCTGATCCATCGCCCACCACAAGGCCCAGTTAACACATGTTGTTTTATTTCCCTCAGTGGGACTGGCTGGGGGCGGGTTTGAATATATCCTGGTTCCCGGCGGCTCCTTTTTGAGTCTAGGGTCATTTGCAGGCAGGCAGGGTACTGGCCTAAGGATTTCTGTCTCGACACTTTTGGCATACGCCCCAAAAGTCGGTGAAGCACTTGTAACTGCACAGCCTCCGTCATCACGAGAGCCAAATTACACACAGCAAGCTTCCATGACCACTGGTGAGACTGACTCAAATGTTGTCAGTGATATTGTTTGAGGGATAAATGTTAGCCTGGACACCACAGGGAGAATCTGCCCGCCTCGCTTTGAAGAGCGAGGGGAGCCAGACGTTTAGGCGTTAGGCCTTGATTGGACGTTCCTTCTGAAAGACCTTGTCTCTTCTCAAACTGCTGCAGGCCCATTTACCAAAGGTGGGTGGGTCAGTCTGTCTCCCACAGCTGTTCGTTTGCACTACGTAGTTTGATACACAGAATCCCTACAGTGTGGAAGCAGGCCATTCGGCACATTGAGTCCACACTGGCCTTCTGAAGAGCATCCCGCCAAGACCCACCAGCCCTATCCCTGTAGCTCTGCGTTTTCCATGGCTAACCCACCTAGCCTGTGCATCCCTGGACACTGTGGACCATTTACCACGGCCAATCCACCCCAGCCTGCGCATCTTTGGACCGTGTGAGAAAACCAGAGCACCCGGAGGAAACCCACACAGACACTGGAGGGAGAATGTGCGATCTCCACACAGACAGTTGCCTGAGGGTGTAATCGAACCTGGGTCCCTGGCGCTATGGGGCAGCAGTACTAACCACTGAGCCACCGTGCCGAACACCTTCCAGTCTGTCGCTCACTGTCTCGTGCGCTCTCAACCCTTTTTTCTGAAGACCCCACTTCTCCCGTTACACCAATTCAAATAACATGTCACAAGCACTGGCTGCTGTAAGGAGGGGTAGGGAAGGGAGGAGGGGCTAAATCAAAAAGGTATTGAATGGGGAAACCATACACGCTAGCTCCTATGGTGCCCACCTGGCGCTCAATACAGAAACCAGCCCTTAAGTCTACGCTGCAGTGTGCGCTTGCTGCTATCTGTTGATATCTCAAATGCTTCATTCTTAATGGAGCCATCTCTTAAACTATCACCACCTCCATCAAGGGAATGTTGCCACGCCAATGCCACACGTCAACCCTGCATTGTGCGCTCAAGTGTCATTATATGTTTGTACCGTACAAATCAGGCCTGTCTCTAGTGTTACACAGCACGGAAACAGACCCTTCAGTCAACCAGTCCATACCCAACATCATCTCAAACTAAACTAATCCCACCTGCCTGCTCCTTCTCAGAATTAGAAGTTTAAGGGGTGATCTGAACGAAGTCTTAACAAGGAAAAGACAAGGTTGATAAAGATAAACTATTCCCACTGGCTGGTGACTCCAGAACTAGGGTGCATAGTCTGAGAATTAGGGCCAGACCACTTGGTGGCTGCTCTTCAGAAGTGAACTGCGAAGGTACTTTCAGAGCACGTGTGTAAAAGCAGGTTAAGCGGCACCAAGTCCCTTCTTTTTGGAGGGGCAAGTGGCCGAACCCGGTGGTGAATCTCTGATGTCGAAGCAGTGCGTTCGAATACAAATCGGGGAGTGCACGCAGTCCAGAGGAGGAAGTGAACCTTGTAGAGATCTCCTGACTCTCTGGGGCAAGGGTCTCCTTCATCACCACCACCACTCCCTTCCCCTCTACTGGTTGTGCTGTGGCAGACGTGCCGTGGCAGACATGCCTGCCACCTGCTGAAGCTGTCCTTGCTGCAGAAATCAGTGCCCGATTTGGGCTGGGGGCTGGATTTGAACAGAAAGCACCTCTGCCAGCTGCTGCAGTTTCGGAGAACTCCCAGCCCACACGGGAGACTCCACGCCGGCGGTGGGGAGCCTCGCTCAAGGTTACAGTAGGGGTCCCTGTGCTGTCGCTACCTTGTGCGGACCCCGGGAGAGAGAGGCATGGGGTCCTGCTGAAGGCAGCACAAGGGCTGATGGTGTGATGTACACGTCATCAAGCAGTCCATTCCCCCTCATTTCTCTGCCTCCTGTAAACTACTGGTTAGGTCGGTCTGTGTTTTAAATTAAACAAGAAATGTTGGAAATCGCAGCAGGTCAGGCAGCATCCTGAATCTGTGACCCTTCATCAAAGCTGTGATTTCCAGCATTTTTTTATTGTTGTTTTCAGTACAGATTCCAGCATCTGCAGTGATATCCTCCCAAATTGTGTAAATTAAACAGTTCTGTTCTGACAATATATAAATGTTTGACAGATTCATTTCTCTCAGCTCTTTCTCTCCTGACGTTGTATCGAACGACAGCTCTGGATTGTGTGCAGTCTCTCCAGTTATTTGACCCAGTCTCTCTCTCCTTTCTATTCCCTCACTTGTAGTACTCCCAAAAGGAAGACAAATATGAAGAGGAGATCAAACTGCTGACTGACAAACTAAAGGAGGTGAGCATGCTTTTTTCCACGCTTCAAGGCACAAGCATTGAATGGTATTTACAGCAACAGTTCATCGCTACTGACCTATCCCCTGGTTTTATTTTGGCTTGTCCCCACTGCGTTTTCTTTACCCTGTCTGTGCCCCTCATGTACTGATCGGGAATCCCCTTCGCTGCCCAGCTTAGCAAATCATGGCCTGTGCTGCTTGATCTCCTCGAGGCAAGACTGAATACTGTAACTGCCCCCCCCACCCCCCACCGCAAGAATGCACCCAGATCCTATAGATCCTGGGGAAGGAGGCGTTGGTCTGAGCTCTCCTCCCCAATTAGCTCCCCTGTCTCCCCTTGCCAAGACACCCTAGAGGTTTGAGCCCTGATTAATCCTGGTGCAGACAGGGACAGTAGCTAAGGGGAGGCGATGGCCTCGTGGTATTATTGTTGGGCTTTTAATCCAGTGACTCGGGTAGCATTCTGGGGACCTGGCTTGGAAACCGAGCGCAGCTGAATTTGAATTCAGTTTAAAAGGGGGGGGGGGAAAAGAAAAGAAAATCTGTAGCTGAGGCTAATGACAACCATGAGTCAATTGTCAGAAAAACCCATCTGGTTCAGTGGTTCATCCTTTAAGGATGGAAACTGCCATCCTTACTTGGCCTGGTCTAAATGTGACTCCAGACCCACAGTGATGTGGTTGACACCTAACTGCCCCAATTTGGGATGGGCAATAAATGCTGGCCTGGCCAGCAACACCCTCCTGCTGTGAATGAATCCTTTTATTTATAAAAAAAGGAAAACTGGTGAGACTTCAGGCAGGGAAGACCGTCTGGTTTGGAGTTTGCTCGGGCTTAAAGCACTAATGGAAGTACCTCTTTAGATACAGTCACCCTAATGCAAAAGTCCTACCTCGGGCAGCTTTCTGGGCTGAGCGTGACTGGTGAGCCAGCTACCCGGTGAGCCGAGGCTGCTGCCTATTGCTTGGGAACTGGGACCCGTGACCCTGACTGACCTTTTGTACCAGGATCTTCCGGATATCTGTGACTTGCCGATCTTATCGCAAGTGTGCGGTTCACCCATTCCTCCCCTGCGTTCCCAGCACAGCAGCTCCTCACTATGGTAACCTATTCGCCCTCGGGTGTAAATGCTTTGTGTTCTTGCTGGCTTCCCAGTGTCCACTGTTGCACTATTGTAGATAACAAGGTGTAGAGCTGGATGAACACAGCAAGCCAAGCAGCATCAGAGGAGCAGGGAGAAGGGTCCAGACCCAAAACATCAACTTTCCTGCTCCTCTGATGGTGCTTGGCCTGCTGTGTTCATCCAGCTCTACACCTTGTTATCTCAGATTCTGCAGCATCGGCAGTTCCTACTGTCTCTGCACCATTGTAGATGGTGTTCTGGAATTTCCTCCCTATTTCTCTTGCCCATGCTGTGCTTCAAGACACTGCTTAAAACTGACATCTTTGGCCGGGTTTTCAGTCACCCGTCCCTAATATCTCTTTCCTGACCAGAGTCCAGTGGAGAGGGGGTTAGTTCGGGGTCGAATTTTACTGTATTAGTGAAGCACTGCAGCACGTTTTACCGCACCAAAGATGCGAGGTAAATGCGCCTTGTCTCTCCCCTGATTGACACGTTGTTGTTGCCTTTAGGCTGAGACCCGTGCCGAGTTTGCAGAGCGCACCGTAGCAAAGCTGGAGAAGACCATCGACGATTTAGAAGGTACGTGAGTGGAACTTACGGGGATTCAAGCAGCAGCTTCCCTTAGTGCTGTATGCGGTGGGAATCGTACAAGGAAACAGCGGCAGTGTACGTTTGAAATCATAACAGGAAAGACAACCCACCTAGTGTCCGTCACGTTCCTCGGGGGCTTTCAGCCCGCCCGTTCCTTCTGAGTTTGTAGTGGAAAAACAATATCCCACAGGCAGCTGTCTCCTGTTCTTGACCCGCACTTGAATGGGCAGTCAGACATCAGTGCCTCTGACTGTGCTGCCCTCTCCCGCTGCTGCCCAATCTTTTGCAGGTTGAGTAAGCTCACACCCCGAACCCTCCTGAGTTGCAACAGAGGGTCCCATTGCAGAGTTAGGGTGGTTCTTAGTCGTGGGGTCGGTTTCGCTGCAGCAGTGGGTGCTGTCTGCTCTTCCTTTCCCTCGCTCCCCACCCCGTTCCACCCTTCTCCTTTCCTGTGACACAGAGTGCCCGGCCCTGCTTCTCTGAATTGATGCAGTGCCTGGCTCTTCCCTGGAAAGTTGCCTTCCATCCAGGTGGCGCAGTCTGCCCCTTTTGATCACTCCCTGTTTGCCAAACCCAAGCCTGGATTTTGGGCTGTTATTGTCAATCCACCTGCTGGAAAATCCCCTCGAATAATTAAAAACAAAAGGAATTTGACTTGACACCTGCAGGCCAGTGACCCTGTAGCTGAGCTGCACTATTGTCCCTCGGTTACACAGTAATTTTAATGCATTGTTCAACAACAGATGAAACATGTATTGATAATCCCGTTGAATGACAGAATATAGCTGAATGGCCTACTTCAGCTCCCGTGTTATATGTTAGGCAAATTCAAGAGAATGAACTTCTCCCAAACAGCGGGAGAATAAGGGGACTCACTCCTGCGGAGGGACAGTGAGGGAGAATGGGGGGATCTCGCTCCCGCGGACAGGGAGGTGGCAGAATGGGGGGGGGAGCTCGCTCCCTCGGGGGGGCATAATAGCACAGATGCATTGAAGGGGGAAGCACACGAGGGAGAAGGTGATGGTGAGTGGAGGTGTGTCGGTGAAACGAAAAGTGGTATGGAAAGAGGCGAGTGTAGAGCAGAAACAGCAGCACAGAGCTCTTGAATGGTTGCATCTGCATTGTCCTTTTATTTTATATAGTGTGGGCATCGCTGGCTAAGCAAACGATTATTGCCAGTCCCTAATTGCCCCTTGCGAAGGTGATAGCAAATGGAATCTCTGGTCAGTTTGACCACCTCTTGTCGTTGTGCTTGGATGCAAGTCCTAGTGGCTTTGCTTTTGTGTTAATGGGGCAAGTTTTCTTTTTTTGGCCCACGCTCCCTCTGCCTTGTGTACCATAATATATGGTCGAGGCAGCTATCCCCAGGAGCGCTTGTCATCCTGGACGGTTTCCTGTGCCCCAGGGTTGGGAGGGTGGAAGAACCCACATTGGGACTTAAACCTAGGTGCCCTCCAGCGAGAATTAAGGGATCCCTCAGATGCTCTGCAGTTGCCTGCCCAGCTCTATCTCCCTGCGTGGGGGCTCAGTTGGTAAGAGTTGGGGTATGGTTGTGACTGGGTCAGAATGCACCAAGCCACGGTCCCATGCAGCTGAAACCGCACTAACCTGATGGGGCACAGGGAACATACCTGCAGGTCTGAATTTTAGTCAGTGCTATTTTTTTTCAGGGAGCAGACTGACCACCCGGGTGACTTTCCACACGTTTAAAAGCCATTTTAGTGCAGTGATCTGCACTCACTTAAACGACACTGTGGAAAGTGTGTGTACACTTCGGGTCTGCACAATGTTCGACACTACACACGCTCACACGTCGCACACGCTGTTAGAAGCTGAGCTGTTCTGCGCCCTCTGTGTATTCCAATCTCGCTTTACTGCTCTGTCATTTCACCTGTGCTTTCTTATCCATTTCTCTCATTTCCCACCATCTCTCTGCCCCCCCCCAACCAACCGGATCATCACCTTGTCCTCCTCTGACTTGTGTTCGTCGCACTCCTCCTCCTCCTGCTGTCTCTCCGTCCAGACGAACTGTACGCTCAGAAACTCAAGTACAAAGCCATCAGCGAGGAGCTGGACCACGCTCTGAATGACATGACCACCATGTAAATACCTGTTCTTTTCCTTGCTCCCCCACCCTGCATGTGTGTCTAACCACGGCACTCGCGTTCTCGCCCACCAACCAGCAGTGCCTTGCAAAACCTGTAACCGCTTTGTGTGAGTTTGCCGTGTGCTTCCTCCTAACCCAACTGCGGGGAACGTCTGCAGCATCCGCGAGGGCCCACTGTGGAGAAAAGCATCACATCGTGCCCACACTCCAGGCTACGGTGCGCTGAATGTTATTTCTCACCGTCTACCTGTCAGGTGCACGTACCCACATCCCCCCCCTCCCTTGAAACCCTCAAGCTAACCGGGTCTTTCACTCCTTTCACTCTGAAATCTATGGTTTTCACCCAGCGAACAGCCTCAGATGATCTGTGGTGAGCCACTGCATCCGGCCCCTGTATTTCCAAACCGCCTCAAACCTCCAGATAGTCCCCGATGTGGGATTTCTGGGCCTTCAGTCAGGATGGGGTGTTTGAACAATTTGTCGCTTCCTGCACACAAGGACACACTCTATTCTCCAATCTCCCCAGCAATAGCGTGAGGCTTAGGCTCCCTTCCTAAGACTGTGTAGACATTATGGAACGATCCTACGCAGCAGAAAGCCACTCCCTTGACATGTAACCCTGCACGTAGATCATACAACAGTAAAGAAACGGGCCCTTCGGCCAATCGTATCTCTACCAACTGTTCTAAACCAATCCCATCTGCCAGAAAACAGTCTGCCTCTGTCTATTTGTCTAAATGCCTCTTAAACGTTGCAATTGTATCTGCTTCTCCCATCTCCCTTCCACCACCCTCTGTTTATTAAAAAAAAACTTGCCAGTCACATTTTGTTTAAACTTTATCCCCCTCTCTCCTTAAACCTATGCCCTCTAGTGCTTGACATTTCCACCCTCTGTGACCATCTTCCCTACCCCCTCCACCCGCTTTATCCGTGCCTCTCATAATTTTATACATTTCTATCGAGTGGCCTCTGATACCCTCGCGGAAACAGTCAGAATTTGTCCAACCTCTCTTCATAGCTAATGCGCTCCAATCCAGGCAACCTCTTTCCCCCTCAAGTGTCTCTCCGATTTCCTGTGGAAGCTGCTTCCCCTGCCCTTTGAGGCAGCATCCCGCAGGACACAATGTCCGTCTGTCACGGAAAAATCTCCACCTCTCGTCAGTCTGTCTGTCTGTCTCCTTTGGCCTGCACTTCTGGTGGGAACAATTCCACCCCCTCCACCTTCAGTCTACCATTCCTTGTAACTCCTGACTCTGTGTGTGTGTTGCCCTCTAAACTGGTGTGGGGCTACTGACGCATGACCAGTTTGACGTGGAGTGTGCTGCTGTTCTAACTTCATCCATCGCTGTCTGGCTCCAAGCTGAAAAGACTAATAAATGCAAATTGGCTTTGACGGTCTGCTGAGGAAGATTTTTAGGAAGTCGTGAGGGGTAGAATCTAAGACCGTCTCCTTTATCGGTCACATTTGGGGTGGGGGGTGTCCAGCATTCAGCCTTAAATTGTTTTGTCTCATCCTCACCACCCCACCCTAAAATTATGGGGAGTTCCTACTTGATCTTGGTTCTTGGCTGTGCAAAGGTTTACATTCCCCGAGCCTCTTGCACACAGCGTCGCAGCTCAGGGGGACTTCTTCTTTCTTTTCCACCACTGTCGTGGTGTGGGGAGCACAGCAAACGGGTTTACACAGCAAGCTCCCACCAACAACAGTGATGCCATATCGTGTGCCCGGTTCCCCTTCAGACAACCCCCCACCGACAGTCCGTTTGGCCTCTTCGTGAGGTTTGACAGCAGAGACCTTCAGACCCGGGTGCTCTGGTTTCCCCCCACAATCCAAAGATATACAGGTTACAGTGAATTGGCCGTGCTAAATTGTTGCATGGTGTCCAAGAATGTGCATGTTAGGGTGGATTGGCCATGAGAAATGCAGGGTTACAGGGATCGGGTAGGGGGATGGGTCTGAGTGATATGATGTTCGGAGGTTCAGTGTGGACTCATTGCGCTGAATGGCCTCCTTCCACGGAGCAGGACGATGACAGGGCAGACAAGGAGGAAATGTGCCCTGCTCTGACTGTGGAGGACTATGAATAATTGTTAAAGGAGACAAATGCTTTTTTTTTGCTTAAAATTGCATTAATTTGTCTACCCTCGAGTGGCAGCTGTTTTTATTTTTGTTTGAGTAGCTTTGAGTGTTTGCCTGTAAAACAGCTTTGTGCTTGGAGGACTGCAGTGTATGTATTACAGCATGACTTTCCAGAAATTGAGATCAGTCTGCTTTCAGGCGCTGGGTTTATACCTGTTTTATAAATATGATCATCTCTACCTCAATGACATCCAGGTGGCCACTTGGCCCCTTTGGCCTGTGCTAGGCTTTATTTTCTCTCCTATTGGTGGGATGTGGGCATCCCTGGCAAGACTAGTGTTTGTCTGCTGCCCCTAATTGCCCCTCAGAGTCTCACCCAGGGCCATTTCAGAGGGCAGGTCAGAGGTGGGGTCTGGAGTCACATGTGGGCCCTGCCTGGGTGAGGATCGCCGATTTCCTTCCCCTGTTGTGGAACCCGCTGGGGTTTTTAAACACCATCGCCGAGATTGGCTTTCGACTCTCGGCGTTTATATTCATCAATTTCCGCCAGGTGCCATGTCGAGATTTGAACTCTGTTCCCCAGAGTTATTAGCCTGGGCCTCTGATATCCAGTCTGGGTCTATTGCCACATTCCCCGCCGCTCCACCCCAATGGTGCAGAGACTCCGGCTCTGATCCCATCATCCCAGCCCCCGTGACCCGAAGGTTTTCTAAACTGTTTTTAGTAAGGAACCCTAACTTGCATTGGGCCTTGGAATCCAAAGGTCCTTTGTTTTTTTTGTTGAAGCAGAGGCAGACTCTC